TTTTCACATCAAGACGCGAGACAAACAGACAGAGTTACTTACGCATTTATAATATTAGTATGGATCAATGTATGTGTAAAACTTCTGTATTTTAATAATGTAACCCTTAAATTGAGGTTATCTGTTCAAGAAGCAATGCCAAGTTCTGTAACGTCGCAAATAATGACGTAAAATGAACTTGGCCCTTCAGACGGATACATAATACCATTCGAAATAAAATATAAAACATTCGTTTTCCTTAATTGTTCAAAAACAATGTAAAATCTTTACATAACATAAAATAAAACCGTTTAAAAACTTTTAAGTTAAACGGTTTTATTTTCTGTCTTTTTTTTTTGTGCACTGAAAACTACAATATTGTATTGTCATCTAAATTAAATGTGTGTACCAAATTTCAGATCAATCTGACAACGGGAAGGTGCTTAAATTTCAATTTCTAATTTTGACCCAAATAAACAAACAAACAAATTCCGTACGGGTCGAGCTAAATAAAACCGTTTAACAAAGTCGCTCCCGATGTTTGTACGCTTAGGATCTATCTTTAGGATCCTTTCAAACTACGTAACGGATTTTAATGCGAATTTCAGCAATGGTTAGAGTATGTTATTATGGCAGAGAGTACGCATATTATAGCAGAGAAAGGTCGAGAAATTCAATATCTACATTGCGTGTGAAGCCGGGGCGGGCCACTAGTATGATATAATTTATTGATATATGTATAAAATAAATTTTATTTTAATTAAACCATTAACTAATATTTAACGCGTACTCTTTTATCAATGTTCATATCAATAATTGGTCCACATTTAGGTAGAATGAAGTTTTTCATTGTTTTTTTCTCACATCTTAACATCGTTTAACAGAATAGTTGAACATATAGTTTAACATTTAAACTATTTATTACTTGTTATAGAACCTTTTAAATAAATAGTCAAATAACCATCGAATACAAAAGAATTTGAGTTTGAGTGACCCACAGATAGCTGTTTCGCATCTGGGTATTTGTCCATGTGAAATTTACGTATTTAAAAACGTCCTTAATAATAATAATAATAAAATATCTTTATTCACATAGACGCTTGCGCGTTCTTATGAAACGTCAAAATTTTACAAGAAATTAACACGTTCGTAAGTTATCACCGGTTCGAAAAGCAGTTTCTGTTGAGAAGAAACCGGCAAGAAACTCAACAGTTGCTCTTTTTTAAAAAATCAGTTTACAATATAATAGTACAGGTACAATAGTCTTGTTTTAGCCTACGTGAGTATCAACAGTATTAACCCGTGTGGGGTTAATATTGTTACGTGTGGGGTTGGCGTCGTCAAGATATTCGGCAATAGTATAATAGGCTTTAGCCATAAGTGTACTTTTAATTTTTCGTTTAAATTCATCAAGTGGCAGACTTAACATCGACTGTGGGATTTTATTATACATGCGCACACTTTGCCCCATGAACGATCTGTTTACTTTTTGTAGGCGAAATAATGGCGTAGTTAGTTTGTCCTTATTTCTAGTATTTAGTTTATGTCTGTCACTATTCTTTTGATAATTATTAATATTCTGTTTAACATACAAAATATTACAATAAATATATTGAGACGCAACAGTGAGTATATTAATCTCTTTAAAAAGATCTCTGAGTGTATTCCGGGCTCCGATGTTATAAATTGCTCGGACAGCTCTTTTTTGAATAATAAATATTGAATTTATATCAGATGCACTACCCCACAACAAAATGCCGTACGACAAGATGCTGTGAAAATAACTGTAGTAAACAAGTCTGGCAGTGTCGATGTCTGATAGCTGCCTAACCTTCCTAATTGCAAAAACAGCGGAGCTTAACCTATTCGCAAGAGATGATAGATGGGGACTCCATTGGAGCTTTGAATCTACTGTGATTCCCAAGAATACAGCGGACTCAACAGGATTAAGGGTTACGCTATTCAATTTTAAGCTAAAACTTTGCCTTCTTGCAACACTACCCTGTGTTATCCTAAGTAAGGGCAATGTTTTTAAAAATAAAAGTAAAGGGCAAAGTTTCTCGACTCGAACACGCAATTCCGCGCGGTAGGGGCGACGACCCCGCGACCGTGACACACTTGCGTACGCGCAACCGCACTTGACTCGCGTAATACCAACGGATCGGGCGCAAACGCTCTCGTTCAGGACGACGATGCCAGATGATATGCCAAACGCTATGCCAGACGCACAATGACTGCCACCAAACCACCGAAGCGACTTTCTACGAAGAATCCCCTTTTCCCGCCAAATCCGACCGGCAGTGATCGTCTTTTTTTTCTTCATCAACTGTCTGTTATCGAAGAAGTGTACTTCGATAACAGACAGCTGTGTCAAATAATCTGTTGGTGTTTTTTCCCGCCATTTATGACTGCAAATGATTGTTATTATTTTTTATTTTGGAGGACAATGTCAATACTCTTTTGGACATTTTCGAACTAATTTTGATCCTAAATTATTATTATAAAAATTATATTTCACTTATAATTTCAGATGAGAAGACTTGAGTATTTTCGCGCCCATTGCTTGGGATTATTTTGAAAACACTTTTTAAATATTTTAAATTAAGACGACAATGTCTTAGAATCCGTTGAACATTTGTGTGCCAAGACTAATTATGTATCTATAACCCGAATTTTTTTTTAATAATTTTAAATCAATTTTATAATAACATGTTCGTAGATCTGTTGATAATTCTTGCCTCTATTTCTAACGTAAAGAATACACATTTCAATTTTATACAACTAAGGAAACCGAACAATAAAATGCATATAGGTGGAAATGGCACAACAGACCAAAGCCAGTAAAATCTTTCTTAAGGTCTTCTTACCCGCTTTGAAATTAACACACATTCATTCTAGATTAAACATCAAACATTCTAGATTAAATTCGGACGTCTAAAGAATTTTTTAAATGTTTTTTTAAATGTTTTTTAACTCAAGCCTATGTCGCTCGAGTTCGACTCTGTTTCACTTTTTTGCAATGGTTTGCGAATATATGCTGTTTATGCTCACACCAACCAGTCATCGGCCCAACCCTGACACACTTCGACTCGCCGCGACCGCTCATGACTCGCGCCGGAAGAGGCCCGAAACTTTACGACCCCATTACTTTTACTTCGCTTCTTTTACGGCTCGTTTAATCTTCAGACTTCCTTGCTTAAAACCTGCACACATATTCGCTCCGCCACGCACTGCCGGGGACAAAGGGGTGATAACTTTCTAGTCGCACAACAATTAATGTCGTGTTAATTCAATAAACACGAATCTCATGTCTTCGTTGAACCCGCCGTGACATTTAACAACGTTTTGTACCCAGTTTCCTCACGGTGTTGTGTCACTTTGGTAGAATAGATTCGAATTTGTCCTTCTAATAACCTCCTCTCCTTTTAGAGTCAGTTGAAAAGCGTCGTGATTTGATTTATTCATGCCAATACTATAGTATTAACATTACTTTATGATTTTTTGAGCGTATTTGGACAAAGCAACAGCATTAATGTCGCAATAATGGGTAGGCTCGTCTGGGGAAGTGGCACGGGCTCAAAGAAAAGCGTTTTGTCTCGTCGTGAGTGAGATATAAAGGTTCTCGATGCATCTGCTAGCCCCTCAGGTCAGTCCATGAGGGCATGAGGTGCTGTCCGGGGGTGGAAGGAGAATTAAGGGAAACATCTGGCATCCCTGGATACTCTCCACCGGAGGCCAGGGTGCAGGAGGCTGGGCTACGCGTGCTACTTTCCTCCTTGATAGTAAAATGATATTTGTCTCACGTAAAAGGGTGGATATGTCCTAGCGTACTTGTGCATATGATTGGCATAAATGGACAACTTTAACTGATTCCGTCTTTGCCTTTAAGCAACAGAATTAGGAACTTATAATGTCTATTGTCGCGTAAAGTCACGGTAGGTTGTCCAGCCCCGATGTAACCCAACGCTTTCAATACTATATCTTGTGTCAGTAACTGTGGCGATATTCTATTCCTCCGATTTTAGAAGCGATCATTTATCGAGAACTTTTGATTTTCCGAACGTAGTCTACACTTATCTCATGACTATATAAAGACACCCGGTCTTCCTTGGAATACTTGTACAACTATTTTTTCTAAACGTAAAGCCAATGATTGAATATTAATCAACTGTCGTTTCGTGTTTATCAATGTTGTCAACGAAGAAACTTGTTAGCAAAACGCCATAATTGTTGAATCGCATGGCAAGATCAATTATATTTTAATTCGATAATAACCTGATCCCTCATCGAAAGGAAGATGGATATTGTTTTCAGCTTAATTATTTTAATAGCATCACATAATAAACATTGTTCAAATATCGTTAATAAGTTATGTTCGCATTTTCTTTATCTATTATAAAGTATTTCTATAATTTTTGTATGTACCTGTAATGTTATTTGTATTTTGTGAGGGCATTAGTACTACATCAGAAGAGGACCACTACTTGTTAAACTAATTGTGTCAAAATCGTCATCAATAAAACGTTAACTGACAACTGCACACTGCAAACTGTCTGAAACTATTCCTAACTCTCATTGTATTGCTTATATTATTAACTTTATATGAAAAACTGTGGGAAACCTTCAGTGTTCAACTCATGATGATGATTATATCCTACTATATGTAAAAATGGTTGCTCAGTGTCCGGACGCTCGCTCTTAATTCAATAAACTCGAGCAACCTGAGTTCAATTCCCGGTCCGGTACAAATGAAATTGTAGGTTACAATTTTAAATTCTGACTTATCACGTTCTCGGCGGAGAAGGAAAACATCGCGAGGAAACCTTGCATATTTTCGGAATCATAACAAAAAAAAATTCGAAGATGTGTGAAGTCCGCCTATCTGCTGTAGGGTGGTCGCTTGGTGGACCTAATACCCTCTTTGCGGTGGAACATATGTAGACTATAGCTTTACTTTTATATGTACCAGTACAAAGAGAGTGTTGACGTCGTCCCTATTTCTTTGTTACAGGCGCGCCTCTATGATGTCCCCTCGCCAGCTTATGCGCAACTCGAACATGACACAGAAATGGCAGAGGCGAGAGATATCGAACTTCGAGTATCTCATGTTCCTTAACACCATCTCCGGTGAGTACACGCTCTTTAAATGTAATTTTGTCGTCTCATCTAGGAGTGAGTTATTGGGTAAAATCGAGTATACCTGTTACACCTGTTCTTATGACATAACAGTAACAGTGACAACTACCTGTTACAAAATAACATGCCTGCTATTTGAAACTTGGTTGTGACATTTTGTGTAACTATTACCATGGAGACAGGGCACAACAGTTTTTATCTCTTTCAAACTAAGGTAACAGTCGTAAGCATGATTACAGAAAAGCTTGTGACAGATCCTTAAGGAACTCTTTGTGTGGAACAGGAACTGTTGTTTAAGTTATTTCATAACAAGTACAGTCTGTTATCTCAAGACAGCTGTTATAATTACCTGTTACGATAAATATGCCTCACGTCTAGTATCACCTAATCGTGTCACTTTCATTAACCTTGTATAGATATTATAGGTTATATCGTCCGTTTAACTGGTTTCTGTCGTATTTATGCCCAGTTTCCGAAAGGCCAATCAAAGCAGCAATCACATAACACTATGTCAAAAATGATCAGTTGTTAATCTCTTGTTAAACTGCCTTGGGTTTCTGGAAGGTTTGTTCAAGAAAAATTAGCTAATCACTGTATAACCAATGATAATGAATGAAATGAATGATTTACTTCAACTAACTCTTTCTATTGTATAGCTGTCTCTTTTTAAACAAAACTTAAATTAACGTCACTATCCAGTCCTGTCACCGTGTGATTGCCAACGTAAAAATCTGAGCTATAATAAAATTTAATTTATATTAATACATGCAAAATGTCAAAAAAAAACTTTACAAAACGTGAAAAAAATGTACTTTTATCCATAATAAACAAGTAAGTATTATAAAAAGAAAGAATCCATATTATTTATTAACTTTTGAATTGCGTTTTGTATTTTTTCTAATCACATGATATGTTCGCATAATAATAAATAATAAATAGTTAATAGAACATATGAATGTCCTAACAACGTATTAGGGAATTATGTTTATTTTTAATAAAAACTAAAATTTTTGATAAATAACATTTTTAACCAACGATTGATTGTTCAAATTGACAGATTACTTAATAAAACTTTTGACAGCTCGTTGACCACCGAAAAGCGCTTTCAGAAACTCGATTTTCTGTTGATTGTCCGTTAATCAGTGACTAATTGCAAATCAAAATCGAATGTTGTTTAAGACGTTCTAGCAACTCAGATCATGTTAAACAACGATTGACAAGAGATTTATCGTAAATTAAAATTGATTGCGCTTTCGGAAACTGGGTGTTAGAATGATAGGCGGCGCTGTGGCTTTCTACGCGTTTTTGTATCACTCTTTGTACATGAACGCTGTCGCCCTGTTTTTATATTCGGTTGGAAATGTACAATACAGACAACAATACTGCACTACAATCATTGTTGCCTATAAACGAACAATAAATTATCATCGTATTTGTGTATAAACAACTGTTAGCATCTGGTAAATCGATATTTATTCATATTGTAAATGAAGTCATCAAGTGCAATTTTTTAAATGCAACTGAAATGTCGTTTATAATATTCCAGGGCGATTCCCGTGTTTACCGTGCTACTATTATTATTGTCAATTTTGTACTTTATTTATTAATATTATTATCAATGAATCTACAAATAAATAAATCTTTTACGCTAACTGACTAATATTGTGTGGTTAGTTTTAAATCACGTCATTTTTATTTTTTTTATAGTTCATTTGACTGATTATTTGACGTTAACTTTAACCAGCTTCTGAAAAATGCCCTTAAAATTAACTTATAGAAACGATCAAGGCTTTGATGTTGTCATGTACCTTTTTAATTAATAACTGAAAGTTTATACAGTTAATGCGGCTAATAGTAACTACATACGATATCATTAAATCTTATAAATAAATTTCAAATGCAAAGTCCATCTTGAATGTTCATTACACTGCAATCATAAACAGTTTCACGATGTAAAATTCAATTTTACGCGCAAACACTTTCACCACACTGATATTTCAAAAACCCAAGTCTGATGTCGATTTTTATCACTTCACGTCCCAAGGCCTAAACGGATTCCAACTAAATTTTAAATGGTGATGACTAATAAGCTAAACTAGAACCGAGGGCAGGTTTTAAATCCAGAAAATTATTAAAAGGCTCGCGCAAATGACGCCGCGGCTGATAAACCGCAACTTCGTAGCGTACGTCTTTGAATAACAGTTGTTTTGGTTCGCTAGTGATCGCTCCGAAACGTATATAACTTGGTAACTCTACACTCTTCGCGACTGTGACATAATGTCTTATTTAGCTTTCCTTGCATAACTAGTACCTCCATTGTCACAAAGCGTCCCTTGCAATTCGCGAATCAATTTGGACGTCGTTACGCCAAATGTGTCCAAACCACGCGTACTCAGATTTCGAATAATTGGTCGTCTGTTTCCGCAGTATTTTCTTGACTAAAAGTTGGTTTCGATATTTTCTTAGTATTTTTGAAAAACTATATACAAAATCCCATCACAGCAAATGTAATCAATCATCAACGCTTTCCGAAGAAAATCTTATGACCGGCTTCAATATTCTATCTGCAGATAGATTTGGTTACTGAAGATAGAATTTTGACGTAAGTTTTATGGAGCTAATTTCAAATATCTATCGCTAGTAACCAAATCTATCTGTAGATAGAATATTGAAACCGGCCGTTAGGGCCTAACCCGGCTGCAGACTAAGTCTGCAGGCGCGTATATAACATTCATTTCATTGGCAAGTAAAGTCTCAAAAGTTGAGACTAAACTTCGCAAAATAATAATTGACTTATCAAGGGTGGCCCTTATAGCTTAATTTTTTTAGTATAGACATATACATTTCACGTAGATAAATATTTCGCGGATGGAATTGTTCAGATGACTGTTTATTGTTAGCGACGATAGAGGTGTTTTGAACGTGTAGTTAAATTCGTACTGTCAATAACTGCGTCATATCGGCGACCGAGTTTAATGGCCAGTTACGTCACCCTCCGCTACGCTTTCCAATCTCTAAACACCTGAAAGAAATTGTAACGCCGCAACGTGATTAGATTGAGTCGAATCGATCGGATCGTCCGAAAACCTCCAGTCAATTACTGCGTTTAGTTTAAATTAAAACTATCGAATGCTTTACGAATTGGGACGGCCTGGAGCTATAATAAAATAGGTGACATCCAGAAACAACTAAGTGTAGACAATTTAAAACAATTACTATAAGAAAATTACAATGAGGACAAGGATGTGTGGAAATGGCTCTGATTTTATACTTAAATAATTTTGCATAGTTATATAGTAAAAAATGATAACAAAGAAAGATGTCCAGAGAAGAGCCGGCAAGAAACTGCGGGTTTCTTGCCGGCTCTTCTCTGGACAGGTCTAGTTTAGTGAAGGTGGTAGTTCTTTGAAGTTCAATAAGAGCCTAGAAATTTTGACTTTGACTTTGAAGAGCGTTATATAGATAGGTTTATGTCATTTTCAACGGTTTGTTGTCTGGATTCACGTGATTTTCTTTTGTTCATCTAAGTCCGTGCATTGCGGGGTTTTCATCAGTTGGCACCGGTCTCAGGGCAAGCGACGTAGACTCTTCCGATGCCGGTTCGTTGACTCAGAGCCGTCTGCGAGAGCGATGAATTGGATCAAGTCTATTGCAGTGATCATTGCGCATTATCTAATCAGACAACCGAGCAGTGCCACTGTTGTCGGCCGGAACGGTTCATATTGTTGTTTTTAGCGACAATTCCGTCGCAAACGAGCTGGCGTTTCACCTGGTGTTGAGCGATGGCCGCCGTTGAGATTGGCAACACCCGTAGGGTTGCGTTGTCGCCTTTTAATAAAGTGGGCCCCGGCTACCTCGCGGATTATGGGTCGCGCACCTTCTACTCTGTTCAAATCCCGATGATATAACACTAAGCTCCATCTCTTTGCTGTATCGACTACGAAAGAGCGTAGAGGTAATTAGGAACTTAATAAAATTCAAAATTAGTACTTGAGTCGTACTGAATTTTGATTAAAACACAAAGATATTATTAGTGATTATTTGTCGGTCGCTTGTCACAGACGCGGATCAAACGCTAGAAGCCGGTATCTTCTTTATTACTGGGGATGTAGCAATATATACGTATATTTATTATACGTTATATAACTTGGATGTAGGAATAGGTGATGCTATCCTGGTTTGCTAAATTGTAAACTGTAGAGTCCCTAAATGTGACGGAAAGTTTGCATGTGTTAATACTTTAATGCATGAATGTAATTAGTTACTGCATATTTAAATCATGCACTCGAGATTAATGGGTCACGGTTATCAATAAGAAAACAAACATCTACATTATACCCATCGCTGATCCTATCAACCCTTTTCGCACAGTCTCGTGATGATATTGATTCAAGTCGCCTCAGTTGACAGTCAGATAAAGAAATAGATGTTGATAGTGTTGATAGTTTACATCAAGGTTACCAATGCACAACTCTATTCGTTTATATTAAGACCTTTTGGCCTTAATAATTCACTGTCTTTATGACCCATAGTCGAGCATTCAGAGTTGAAGTCTTAGATTTGGTACCAATGAAATAGTGGGACTTTTAACTATCACAAATTTCGTAGTGTCGTTTATCCAAATCTTTCTGTACGTACGTAGTATATTTATTTCATTTTTATACCGTCAACCCCTTTCCATCTTGGCCTTTCAGAACTTACACATGTAATACAGACGTAAACTAGTTTCGGGATATCATAAACTACTATTTAAGATATCATAACCGAGTCTTTCGTATTAGTTATTATCCATACTCGTTACTCCATTTTCTTATTTCAATTCAGCCGCGACACATACATAACTAAACCATTGATAAACACCTAATGAGCCATGACGGATAAAAAAAGGCATTAAAACTTCTTTCCTTGAAAATGAACTAAAAACATTTTATTTCTCCCTATTAAAAGTTAATTAATATTAAAAGTGAATTAATAAAAATTAAACCTTCTCC